TTTTTTTTTTTCTTTTGAAGACAGGGTTTCACTCTGTGTCCCAGGCTGGAGTGCAGTGGTGCAATCCTAGCTCACTACAACCCTCAATTCCTAGGTTCAAGTGATCCTCCCGCCTCAGCCTCCCAAGTAGCTAGGACTACAGGTACACACCACCACACTCAGCTATTAGTTTTTAATTTTTATTTTTGAAGACACTGGGTGTTGCTATGTTGTACAGGCTGGTCTCGAAGTCCTAGCCTGAAGCAATCCTTGCTGCCTCAGCCTCCCAAAGTGCTGGGAATACAGGGGTGAGCCACCACACCCAACCAGTAGACCTTTTAAAAAATAAGGATCTGTAACAAATATTTCTGAGGCTAATAATCAAATTAAAAATCAAAAGCAGAGGAACAGTTGCAATTACAATAGCATCTTTTCTTCAATTAATCTAAAATGACTCACAAAGAGTATTTCACTGATCCTCCTAACATGTCTGATGAAGTTGGTGAATTAAAATTATGTTTTGAGAGTTTCTAAGAGTTACTTCAACCTATTTTTTAAAAGCATGGTGCATGCAAAAGGCAAAAGCACATTTGGGTGCACTCTGCATTTATAAATCTATGACAGGTCTTTGAAATTCACTTGGTTTGTTGGGCTAGCTCATACCTGTTTTCTCACAGATTCTGGAGTCCAGAGCTGGTGACAGGGATGGAAATCTGACACATTTTACAACTAGCTGAGGAGGCTTATCAAACAAGGAAGAGAGAAGTGCCCACATATTTTGCCCACTAAGAATGGATTTGCTGTAACAAGTTCCTCTTTAGGAAGTACAGATGGCCCTGAGTATCTAGGCTCAGTCCTGTCTCCACGGGGGTTATTTGAGTGCTATTCCCAACCAATGCCTGGTTACTGAGTGGGACACTTCGACAGGAGGGGAACTGTGGCAAACGAAAGAACCCAGACAATTATAGGGCTTCAGGTAGCTAGAACCCTTGCAGATGACTTAAAAGGATCTTGGAGAGAAGATCAGAGGTTAAAGACATGGAAACGCCTGGGATGCAGTAAGGGTGGAGTAGAAGAAGTGTTTTTAACTCTGATTCCTGACTCAGTCGTTGTCCTGCTGAGCAACTGAAGTTCACTGCCTGAATGAGGCACATAGCTCTCAGCTAGAAGACAGAAAGCCTCCACTGCCCTCTCCAGTTCTGCCTCACCTGTAACTCAGCCCCATAGCCCTGCTTGGACCTCAGGGAAGGTGGGAAGACATTGCACACGGCCCTGCATTGCTGATGGCTGCCTCTTTACCATCAGACTCAGGGTGGTGATGGAAAAAAATCGCCTTTTCCATGAGGCCCTTCATGTGCCCAGCCCCAATGAGGTCAAAGGCTACAGGACCATATTGATGGAGTCCCTGTGCTTTTCAAAATCAAAGCTCCAAATTTATCACCTGACATGAATTTTTTTTTCTAATTTGATAGAAATTAACACATCAACTTTAAAAATAATTTATTTATAGAAAATTGTAATGGTTGCAGAAAATCCCGTGTGCCTGCTTGCCTAAAATGCAAACAGCATCATTTGCATTTACTGCAAGCATACGAAATGACTGGCTCAAGGAGTGAAAATCACTATTATCTGTGAGCCTGGTTTCAAGCGAAAGGGTGCATGGCAAAGTTATAAAATATCCATGGGAGAACCTCATCCCCACTTTTAATTACCTTCCCCTCTCTCCTTTCTCCCCTAAGGATCACACAAAAGTTAGGTTTACCCAAGAGTTGGGAAAGGCCAGATTTTAGGACCAACAGCCACGGAGATGGCTCAGGAGTTGGCTGCAACTCGGCCCTGAGCCAGCAGCCCACCCTTTCCGTTTGATGCGGGCGCTTTTTGGCAAAGCTCCTGCTACTACTCAGAAGAGAGTGGTCATTTGTATGAATATTAGTTTCCCAACATACTGACTCTACTCCAGGATAAAATTATCTCTTGAGCTCCAATAGAATTGCGACACAACTTTCTTTTTAATTGCTTTAGTTCTGTGAATTTGTGGAGAAGAAAACTACAGTAAAGTAGCGATTGTTCTTAAAGGGCAATTACTGAGCAGCTGCAGAAAGCTCTAGCATGAGATATCATCATCATGTATATTGTCTAGAAATTAGCCAAGCTCATAACGTAAAGTCAGTGGCAATGCAGATTCTGTTTTAGAAGGTCCAATTTCAGTGGTGCATTGTCACAGAGACATACTCAAAAACTGAAGAATTGACCAGTAGGTGCCTGAAAAGCATATGAACTGGACATTTTTATAGGTGTCACTAAAAGGTTTCAGAATATTATATGATAAACATGTTCTATAGTTTGAGTAACCAAGGGACATATTTATTAGGTATTTAATGATGTACACGATTATAAACAGACATTGACCTATGTCCTTAAATTCTAATCCCACATAAATCTCCTACACAGAATCTACCACGCTGCCACTTTTCAACAAGTTCAGGCTTGTCCTACTTTGGGAGACATGTTTCCAAAATCCAAGCAAATGAATCCGATAAATTATAGTCAAGTTTGCATTATTAGCAAAGGTCTCCCAATAAGATACTTTTTAAAATTGAGGTTCCTCAGTGTATATTTTAGACTATATTGAAGCTAAGAAATTGAAGGTCAAAGAGATGCTAAGATAGACAAACCCTAAAGTTACAATGTAAAGTACTGAGGAAACAGCTTAACACAAAGCCTGGCACATTGTATGTGGTCAATGAATACTTGCTGAATGATTAACACACATTCTAAGGTCAGCATTTACAGCATAAGATGAGGTACACATACACAATAAAAAATTGTGTGTATACATGCATAAAGTTTCATACCTTTCCATAAATTTTTGAAAAATGTCACCTCGAAGACTTTCACAAATTTCTTCTATGTATGGCTGGAAGAGATGGAAAAGAAATTCCACACTGAATGAATCAGAACGTATCAAAAAAACACAAACCAGTGAGACTCAGGTTAAGCGAAGTTCCCAATTATGCACTCCCCATAGCATCGTGTCTGGTACCTGCCCTTCTCTGTGCTTGTCTAATATTCACTAATGGATTCGTCAATATTTATCTATACCACTTGATTCCATGAAGACAACACAGACAGGTCTGCCCTGTTTGCCACTATATTCCTACTACCTAATATGACTCCTGGCAAGTTACAGACACTTACTCCCTGAGCAGGGCTTGCTTCACAGAGGTGTGACTCGGAAAAGTCTGGTGCTGGGTTTAAAGCTCTGTTGTTGCCATTTCTGAAATTCTTCATCATTTTTGTATGAGGAGCCCTGCATTTTCACGTTGCACTGGGCCCCACAAGTTATGTGGCACAACTTGTAAGCTAATACAAGCATCTGTAATCTGCACTGAGTTTTAAAAACTCAAAGCTAATAGGTCCATGAAGTGAAATTTTTTTTAATTAGCTATTTTATTTATTGATTTTCTATCTCTTAGAGTCATAGAGATACCCACAGGGGAGAGTTGATCCAATCCCACTCCTCATCTTGCAGGTAAGGCTACCGGACTGCAGGCAGTGCACTCCTAAGGTCTCTGAGAAGGTCCATGGCTAAACTGGGGTTAAGGCGAGGGTTCCTGGTTCACATACACAGCGCTCTTGCCCTCCTGGAGGACAACTACCATCTACTTCAACTTCAGGCCACTTTACCCATTACTGAAGAAACAGCAACAGCTTTCCTTTCCCATGTGATGAACTTTTAAAATCAAGAACTACAAAAATATAAAGTGCCAATATTTCACAGTTCAGCCCAGAGTCAATTAGATAGTTTCAGGAAACATTTTGGCACCCTCGGTTCATTGAATGATCCAAATTTAAACTTTTTTTATGTCTTCATAGATCATTCTGAAAGTTTACAAAAAAAAAAGAAAAGAAAAGAAAAGAAAAACTACATCATGGAACGGTACAAACCAAGCGACGAGAATAGGAAGTCTGCAGAAGCCACAGGAACCAAACATGGGCTGGGAGGCAGCTGCAGTCCTTCTGGGAGCCTTGCTTCCTGCAAGCAGAAAGGACGCTAGCCTGGCGGGCAACATGGGGTAGGGGGTGGTGGTGGGGGGTGAGCCAGTCTACGCCAACTTGCAGAACTATCCCTGTCCTGGGGAAGGCACCAGAGCTAGTTGCGAAAACCATATGGACTTTGTCCCCTTCGTGGTGAAAGAGGAAGCTAAATTATCTCTCTCTGAAGTTCCTTCCAGCTCTGAAATCCTATGATTCCAGGAAACACACAACATCTATCTTAGCCAGGTCCTCGACAAGTCTCAAGAGGTTCAAAAGAGTCAAGAGACGAAATAGGTTCAAATGTTCAAAGATCTAACAAAGGCTACATTTATAGATCACAGATTTTTCTATTTATAAAAGCTATTATGTCAATTAATATTTTTCTTTCACATTTTATCAAACATCCCTATATTCTGCTAATAAAGTGAAAGATGAGTGTCACTGGGAATTTCTAAGACTACACAGAATCTACCACGCTGCCCCTTTTCAACAGAAGGAACTGCAGCAGGCCTGCTAAGGCGTATGAAAGCCAGAGTTCAACAGTAGGATAAGGAGCAGACTACTTTCCCTCTCTGATCCTCAGTTCCCTTAATCTGTAAAAGAGAACAGTCGTATCTAAGTTGCAAGGCTGTCGTGAGAATTCGGTAAGATTAAGAATGCTGAGAGCCGAGCTCAGGGCCCAGTGCATTTTAGAAGCACCCAAGCACAAGCCAGGGCCCCTCCCAAGCCCGCCACCAATGGACCTACCCACTTACTTACTTCTAAAGGCAATCTTACAACAAAAAGAATTTAATAAAAGCATTTGTATTTACTTTAAAAAGTTTTGTTTTACTATGAACTTCAACTGACTTTATTGGTTAATGTACCTCTGTAAACAGGACATTCAGACACATACTTTTTACTTATACTTAGTCATTATGCTCTGATGGTACAGAATACATAGAATTGTATTAAGACACTATTTTAATAAACATTATAATATTCTCTTCACCTCTGAAATAAGAATAATACCCATTCTATATCCATTTAGCCAGAAAATTATTTTGACTATGTTTTTAACAAACAAAACAACTCAGTAAAGTGTTTTTTAAAAGATATATGAAAGAAATTGCTTCTAAATTGAGTGTTTTTTGAAGGTATGAAAAGAATCCTAGTGGTCTTTGTATCCCCACTGGAACAATTTTTTTTCAATGTTATTTATGTTATAGTAGACGCTAAAATCAGATTTGTAACACCTATGTACTATGAGGTATAGTTTAGCAATGTTAAATGTAATTGACCATGAGGCTGTCTACGTACCATGGCAAAGTCTGATGAAAACTGAAATTCTGACACTCAAGTATCATGGAGGCAACAGAAAGCAGATATTGACATTGTACTTTCTGACTGTAAGATGTGTGATAATAGCTAACATTTGTGGAGCACAGTGATGGGCGGGCCTCGTACAACGCAACCCGTGTGTGCCCTTCTCACTGAATCCTCAAGACCTTCCTTTGAGGGAGTGCGCAGTGTCATCTCCACTTTACAGATGAGAAAACTGAAGTTAGGGAGGTGGAGAAGCTTACCCAAGGTCCTCCCGCTACGGTCCTGGGACTCAAAGCCAGGTCAGGTCAACGAATTTCATAACCCAAGCTTATAACCCACTACTGTGCAGACAGGTATTACATTTTATGAAAGTCCATCTAATTATTGTCACAGAAAGGTAACACCCAGTTTGTTACTATCTAAATGCTCTAAGAGCCAAATCGGCATTTGCTCTGCCGAATAATCAAATTCATTTTGCATAAACACTATCATAAAATGCCAAAGTCAACTTACCTCCCTTTAAATGACCAACTTATCCAGGAAAAAGATGAGTTGATTATTTTCATTTATTAAAACCAATATATTACTCAATGACATTCTTTCCTATTTCTTGTAATTCACAGAAACATGAAAAGCACTTATTCACTGAAGAATCTGACTGTCCTTGTAAACTACTGCCACCTCTATAAAAAACACAGGATGGAAAAGGCTTTTGGGAGGAAGTGAAACCACCTCATCTAAAGAATGCCAAATATATAGGCCTATTAGTGGGGAATTTGATTTTCCAAGTCTTGTCATTTAAACCTATATGACTGTATTGTGTTCAAGATATGAACAACCAAGGTAAAATACAATTTTCCATGACTCAAAGATCACTCAAACATTTGCTCCTGAATCTTGAAAATAAATCGTATTTCCTGTAGAGGATAATCACAGCAAGTATCAACAGCCTGGCACTACAAAATAAATCTTGTCGAGTCTTTGCTCATCACAGGTGCTAGAATGTCAAATGGGAAAAAAAGCTTTCTTCTCTGATATCTTATCTTGACTGATTTCTAGAACATAATGTTACTGCAAAGCTCTGGTGGCCTTTTTCAGAAAAGGCTTTATGAAGCACATTGGTAAAAGGACACTTTGCAATGGGAAGACAAGCGATAATAAACTCAAATTGTCCCAGACAAAGCTCCAGATTAGAACACAGTCTGTACAAAGCAAGTCCTCTAGTGTAACTGCACATGCGGAAAGAATGTCACCAAGACCAACTGTTAAGCAAATATTATCTATTTATTTTGGAATCATTTTAACTTACCTGAAAAAGAGTTGATGTCACTTGTTTCTTGGATAAATGACTTTGTACGTGTTCTACAGCTTGCTTTGAGAAAGGCTATCAAAAGTCAAAAATAATATTTTTTAACAATAAGATGTAACGAATCTGTGTATGTTGTATAATATCACAACAGATAAATTTAGCACAGCAATTACTAAACAGTAACCTATGGTAATTATATTAACAAACACTCTTTAAAAATCTGTTGAGTATTTACAGGCAATCCCAGCAAGTGCTCGTTCCTCTGGGCATCCAGTTCTTAGCTACATGTCCAGAAGAATGACCATGCAGGGGCTGACACTATGCAATTCCAGAAGGGTTCAAGATCACTCTGATAATAAAGTGTAAAGAATCCTATTATCAGGCCAGTGCACTGGCTCATGCCTGTAATCTCAGCACTCTGGGAGGTCGAGGCAGGAGGATCACTGGAGCCCAGAAGTTTGCAATCAGCCTGGGCAACATAGTGGAACCTCATCTCCATGAAAATAAAAATAAAAATGAGCCGGGCATGGTGGTATGCGCCTGTAGTCCTAACTACTCTGGAAGCTGAGGTGGGAGGATTATTTGGGCCCTAAATATATCCATCAACAAACTGATAATGGGGTTGTAAAAATGTAAAATTTCCACCAAATAAGAGAAAATACACAAAAATACCCCTAAGAATTAATGTCAGGATTACAAAGTCAAGCCATAGCGGTAAAAGGCTCTAGGTTAAGGAAAGTCTTACTGTAACCCCAGCGAGGGCAAAAACAGTGGAGCTTCCACTGATAAAAATTAAAAGGGTATCCTCCCCACTCCAAACTTCAAATTGTGTCTTCTTTAACAATGCACAATAAGAAGAAAGGCTTAAAAGTACCGTCATACGAATAAACACCCTGTAAATTGTTGAACTACATAAAAACTAAGTTTTCGGAGGCTTTCCCATTGAACATCTGGCATTCTTCAAGCGTTCAGTCCTTCCCTACTGAGGCAGCAAGGCAGGGAGTGGCAACAATTAGCCCTAGGCCCAGAAATTTCTTCACCAAGCCAGGTGGGTCCAAGGAACAGAGCAGTGCATGCCACAAGAAAGAGACGTCCTCTTTAGCCACAGTTATGCAAATGTCAGCAGGAACTGTAAATAAACAATGAATACAGAAGCACCAAAATACACCATGACCACGACCTGTGCTGTCCAATAGGACTTGCTGCAACGATGGGAGGGTTGTGTATCTGTGCCATCCAGTACAAAAGCCACTAGCCCCATGTAACCACTGAGCGCTGGAAAGGTGGCTCATGAGGAACTGAGGTATTAAATTTTTACTCCTATTTGATTTTAGTTAATTTTTTTTTTTTTTTTTTCTTTTTTTGGAGACAGAGTCTCACTCTGTCGCCCAGGCTGGAGTGCAGTGGCCGGATCTCAGCTCACTGCAAGCTCCGCCTCCCAGGTTTACGCCATTCTCTTGCCTCAGCCTCCTGAGTAGCTGGGACTACAGGCGCCCGCCACCTCGCCCAGCTAGTTTTTTGTATTTTTTAGTAGAGATGGGGTTTCACCGTGTTAGCCAGGATGATCTCGATCTCCTGACCTTGTGATCCGCCCGTCTCAGCCTCCCAAAGTGCTGGGATTACAGGCTTGAGCCACCGCGCCCAGCCGACTTTAGTTAATTTAAAGTTAAATGTAAATTGCCACAGGCAGCTAGTGGCTACTGCGTTGACAAAGCGGGCCAGGACTGTCAGGCCACGCTTTGGAAAACATTCCTACTGTAGAGATAGTACATGATAAATCTTCTTCCAGTTACTCCTGGTAGAATCATTTCCTAATAACCTAGTTTATCCTAATGACCAAGTTAGATTGTTTATCTGATTTAAAAGAAAAAAAAATATTACAACTGCTATTTAACTAATGAACAAAATTAACATAATGATTATAAGCCACCTTATTCATTCAAAGAGACCATTTAAAATTTATATTTATCAATAGTTGATTAGCTTAACTGTTAAAGTATAGCTCATTTTAAAATAACAAAGCTTAATTTCCTTCAGAATGTCTTGAATTGAGACTTTTTCTTCAGTTGATCTAAATTAGTGATTTTATTTCATTGATTTTTGCAGTGAAAGTATCAGGTTTTGGAAATGAACTAAGCTTACATGAAGCAACACACGTCGTGCCAATATTACCAGGAAACAAATGACAAAGCAGAAGAAATGGGTTCCATCCCGGGCATGCATTTTTCAATTGTAAACACCTTTCTACTGTTTTATTTTCATTCTGGAAACACTGAACATGGTCCCATATTCATCAGTACTAAAGCAACAGAGTTAGAAGAAATACTTACATGTGAACAGGAAAGAAGTTCCTTCATGATGTAGGCATCATAAATTTGTCGACTTCTGCAAAGGCGGTCTTCCTCATTATCAAGTTTTTCATATTCTTTTATCTAGGTTTTTTAAAGTTATCATAGTTAGGTTATGTCTTCCTGGAAACTTGCCTCATTAAAATATATTACTGGCCCAGGCAGAAACCACTTGCACATGAGATAAAGCAAATTACTGAACCAGCTATTCCACAGGAAACAGCTACTTCTAATGTTGTAATAATGAAGTTGGAATAATTTAAATTCAACTAGAAACATACAAGTGGATTTTTTCCCTATGATGACTCTCATCACTTAAATGTAGAAACATAATATTAGGAAACACGCACTGCCATGGTTACAATTATCTTACAACACACGAGCCATAGACCATGCATCCTTGCCAATTCTCCTCTCCAAAGCACAAATCATTTCAATTTGGCTGTAATTCAGTTCTAGGAGTTATGATAGGGAATGTTCTCACTCAACTACAGTGTTCCAAAACTACAAGGAGGAAAAAAATATATTGCCAGAATTCCTGCAAAGAGATTTTTCAAAAATCAACTAAAGCAAATAAGTATTACAGAAAGGAATTCACCCACAGATGAAAGCATTGGCTTTCCAGGTTGGAACCTCAGTTGCACTATAAAAGTATTAACAGGCAGGTGACTTCAAATCGCGTACTTTGCTGTATTCAGGAAAGGTAACCTGGCTGGTGTTAAAAATGACTAAATAATGAGACTGTGCTTTACAAATATTTGCCTTATGTGGAAATGGCTCCCAATGCTCTAACCTGGTAACAGAAGGTCCTGGACCTCAGAATTGTTCCCAATTTATTTACAGAAATACTTTTAATCCAAAAGACAAGAAGAAAATGAAAACATACATGATCTAAGAAGCTCGGAGGGAGACTGTCACAAAGATCCTCACTATAATGACTGATTAGTACATATGACTTATTTTTGGAAAAGAAGGTTTCTAACAGTTATCTACTTACTATATTGACCTAAGCACTCTTTATTTTGGTATGATAAAAGTTGGCACTAATTACGCCCATGGGAGAGAGCACCAACTAAACAGAAATAAAGGTTACCTTTTACTTTATAGTATGACCTTCACAGTTTTGAAATCAAAACCAGCATATCCTATTTATTAGATTCCTAATTAAGATAAGGGCACAGTCATGCAGGTGAGGGGAAAAGGGTATGTGAAGCACTGAGGTCCCATATGGTTCACACGCTGAGAAATTACCAGGAACATCGTAACTGTCCTGAAAGATCATCAGTGTTACACTGTGATGGCTGAAATTCACATGGAGTCTTCCTGAAAAAGACAATAAAACCTGACATAAAGGCAGGCAGGCTGGGGAAGGTTGATACTCTATCCCACAAGAAAAGACCATCTTAACGAAGAATCAGTCCAGTAATGTCAACATAGCCAAAAGATCAGGGCTTAATCATCCTAAGGCAATTCAGGAGAACAAGTCTAACATGTTCAAGCGCCATACCAGATGTGAATATGGTAGCTGCAAAGTAACAGAAGCCAAATACCAAAATCTGAAGGAGAGCTGGAAAATAAATCAAAGATTTTTGGCTTGGTTGATTCCTTTTGTTGTATTTTGCTTTAGGCAAATCCAAAGGTTAATGCCAGAATGCTAGGATAAAATGGCAGACTATAACTAACCCAAAGGCAAAAGTTTCTGCCTCTACCTAAGAACAACCTCAAGGGATAATAAGACTTCATGGAATGATGATCCTTGAAAACAAATGTAATGAAATTTAAGTTTATGTTCCAAGAAACGTACAAAGCAAACTGACACCTGGTTAAACAAATGCTCATTCTGTGGAAGTTCCTTCCCATGAACAGTCAAATCCCATCATTTCTGGGTAAATGATGCTCTGAACCACAACACTGTCTTTACTAAGAGCCTTGTGCCTTCTAAGCTCCAACTTGAGCAACAGAAAAGGTAGTTCTTAGAAGGCAAAGTAAGAGCCTAAAGCATCTGTGGCTGTAATTTGGTATTCACTTTCTATAACCAGTAAGACCACTGATTAAAGACCATGCAGTCGACTCCCAATAGCTCTAAACAGATGTCCTATTGCAGCATATAAGTAGTAAATGCCATCTCTGATCCCAGAAGTTTGGTTGTCCAGGTAACCTGGGCAGGGAAAGGTCTAAGTTCAAGGTGAAAAGCCTTCCCTGCTGCAGGATAGAAACATTCTCATCAATAATAAATATTCACAGACCTGTGGTCCCTTTCTGCTTTGGTGGTTACACAGCTCCCAGCTGAACTGGAAGACTAAATAACTTGAGCTCTAACAGCAAGCACTTTTGGTCCACAGGTGTCATAGTCTCCGCTTCTGCGCCCATCCTTTGTTCCACCACCACTGCAGTGACATGGTCTAGTGAAGTCATCTCTGCCTGGCCCAATCCAACGCTCTCTCTTTCGTCCTTCACCTTATTGACTTCTCAGCAGCATTCAACTCAGCTGTCCACTGACGCCTTCTTTGAAACATTCTTCTCTGACTTCTGTGACCCATCCTCTCCAGGCTTCTCTTTCTTGGTCTCCTTTGGTAGTTCCTCTCCTCCGCTTGACTTCCAAATACTGAACTGCCTCAGAGCACGGTGCTGGGGGCACCCCTTCTTTACCAGTTAAGTTCTCCCTAGGTAAAGTCATTTAGTCCCATGGTTTCAAATATCAATTATATTCTGACGACTAAGTCTGGATCTCTAGGACTCCTGAGCTCCAGATACTAAATATCTAACTAGCTATTTGACATTTCCAGTTGAATATCTAGAAAGCATCTCAAATTTAACACTTCTAAACGAAACCCTTAACTTCCACATCCTCTGTACTCCAGCCAAACAGGCTCCTCTCCCTGTCTTCTTTATCACAAAAATGAGTAAAATCATCCTCCCAGTTGCTTAAGCCAAAAAACGAATAATCGTGATTCCACTCTTTCGCCACGCCCCTGCCACCACCACCCCTTACATCCAATTCATCAGCAAATCATGCTTGCTTTACATTCAAAATATAACATAAACTCAGGCTCTGCTTCTGGTAAGCACCAATTAACTCCTAACACAACAATCCTCCTGAGATAACAACTAGCATTCTGGACACACACACACACAAAATAAGCACTGAGGAGTCACCAAAGGTACGCAGAGAATGGAAAAGGGCCTCCAACAGAAACTGGAAGAAAACAAAGAGCCACAGAAGGAAAGCTCCAAAATTCTACATATAAATCCAATCAAAATCCCTGGTGGACCCCATAATGACACATGAGCATGGCAGACCCTAAGCAGCCTAGCTAAGCCTTAAAGAACTGAACAAGATTCATCTTCCCCCATGCAGAGAGGACAGGGCTCAGAGTTTGAGTAAGCCAAGCTAACTGTATTCTTCAACAAACAAATGAAAAAATCCATATCCCTTGCAGGAGCATAACAGAGTTTACAGTATCCACAATATATCAATCACATGTTCCAGACACAGGCTAAAATTATTCTACAGATGAAGAAACAGAAAATGTGACCCATATGCAAGAGGACAAACCATCAATGAAAACCAATCTAAGATAGCCCAGATGTTAGAATTATCAGACAAGGATTTTAAAGCAGCTATTATAACTGGACATAACAGAAAGGATGTTAACAGAAAATGTTCATGTAACGAATAAAAAGATAGGAAATAGCAGCAGAAAATAACTATGAAAAGAACCAGATAGAAATGTCAGAAGTAAAAAATAGAGTATCTGAAATAAAACATTCAATGGATAGACGTAATAGCAGATTAGAGATGCCAAAAGAAAATGCCAATAAATTTGAAGGCAAATCCAAAGGAAGTATCCAACCTAAAGAAAAGAAAGAAAAAATATTGGGGGAAAACTCAGACAGGGCATCCAGGATACATAGGATAGATAATATCCAAAGATCAAACATATATATAATCAGTCTTAAAAGGAGACGAAAGAAAGATTGAGGTAGAAAAATAATCCTTTAAGAAGTAATGGCCCCTAATTTTCCCAGATTTGGTAAAGAAAAATATATATAAATTTACAGATTCAAGAAACTCAGCAAACTCCACAAAGGATAAATACAATATCTAAAATTACTTCACTAAAAAGCAGAAGCTGTCGGAATGAGGGAAAAAATAATCAAGACACTTTTATATCCGTCTAAAAGAAACACACTTTATATATAAAAACAAATTGATAGTGAACGATAGGAAAAGACATATCATGAAAATAGTAAGCATAAGAAGACTGAAGTGTCTACATCTATATTAATATCCAGCGAAGTCAATTTCAAGACAAAGAATATTACCAAAGATACAGACATTTCATATAGAAAGATACAACAATCAAAAATGTTTATGGATGCAATAGCAGAGCTTCAAAAAATGTGGAGAAAATGGTCAAAATAAAAGAAGAAACAGACATTCTACAATCAGAGTTGAAGATTTTAACACCCTTTTCTCAGCAATTGATAGAACAACTAGACATAAAATCAAAAGAGATGTAGAAGCTATCATATCAATTACCATGACCTGATACTTATAAAACATGACACCTAATACTCCTCTGTTTTAATTTTTCCACGGGCATTAGAATAAAATGTAAATGTGTGACCAGGCGCGGTGGCTCAAGCCTGTAATCCCAGCACTTTGGGAGGCTGAGACGGGCGGATCACGAGGTCAGGAGATCAAGACCATCCTGGCTAACACGGTGAAACCCCATCTCTACTAAAAAACACAAAAAACTAGCCGGGCGAGGTGGCGGGCGTCTGTAGTCCCAGCTACTCCAGAGGCTGAGGCAGGAGAATGGCGTAAACCCAGGAGGTGGAGCTTGCAGTGAGCTCAGATCCGGCCACTGCACTCCAGCCTGGGCGACAGAGCGAGACTCTGTCTCAAAAAAAAAAAAAAAAAAGAATAAAATGTAAATGTGTTACTCTGGACCCCAAAACTCTGCCTCTCTCTTCAATCTGATCTTATCTCACACTACCTGCCCCTCTCTTCATGCAGTACAATCAGACCACACTAGTTTTCTTTCAGTTCCCCAGACATGCCCAGTTCTTTCCTACCA